CAGTTGATACAAGGAAAATGGGCTCTTCTAGTTATCAGGTTGCGCTGGTCCAAAGGAAATCAAGTTTGGCTCTGAGTATGCCTCATGCCATGAGATTGTTGAACAAGTCGAGGCTGTTGCAAACCGCAGGATTAGTACGGGGTGGGGAAAGAAGGTTGGTGTTTCAGCTGGTGAAAAATCCTCAGTTTAGGGGGCTGGGTCACCTGGGTGTGTCGAGATTGGTAGTACGCGTGCAGAAAGGTTCCCAGAAGAAAATACTCGATAAGAAGCGATCGATATAGGTCTCGATTGGAAATTTGAAGTAGAGTTAATTGAAGAATGACTGCTTCATCTGTATAATATACTTCCAAGCTGGCACATTGATTGGGTAATTCAGTTTCATCACAGCAATTTCCTGTAAATTTAATCCTTTTATGTATTTTCCCCTTAATACAATTTATCTCGAAGTGCTGCCTTTTCAATTCTTCCATTATTTACAACATCTATGCCCTCAAGATCTTCACAAGCAAAGGTTTAATTGAAATGGAAAAGAAACACACACACACATACAAGAGTTGTTTGTACTTAATCTCTACGTAAATCAATTACATGGAAAGACCTATGTAGCAACCTGCGCAAGATAGCTTCTTTTACATGAAGGGAAGGAAAAAAAAAAAACAGAGTTGGTATTAGACATTTCACATCATCATCATCTAAGCCTTGTCCCAACTATCATGTCATATGATCATATCACATCACTTCCATAATTCCTTTAATGCTTTTTTTACCAACTATTTTTATACAGAGGAGGCCTTTGCTTTTTGGTTCCACCACTTAGTGACCTTGAAAGTGTTATAATTATTGCCAAAAAAAAGGAATTGAAGAATGGTGCATATGTTACATAATGCTTACTCTTCATATTCTGATTTCTGTTTTTATCTATCTTGAAAGTACTCTGGTGTGTTCTCTTTTCTTCTTCTCCATGGTCATACAGATCTCATAATGGCTTTTATGAATAATTAAGCACTTTTTTAGTTGTTGATCTTAACTACTAATTTCCCATTCTGTCTGATGTAGGTTCTCTTTGGTTGCATATAAAATTAAGGAAAATGAAGTATTTCCATGGAAACGGATGCCGAAAACAATCATTTTTAAAACATAAATGGTAGTTGTAGGAAAATGTCATTCCTCTTTAATCTAACTCATTTCTGAAAGGAGGGTTCCTCTTCATCCAAATCTGGGAACACCCATATATTTCTCACATTTAGTTTTGGTTTCCAAGTTAAGCCGGATACTAGGATACTTGGGAAAATGATTAATTTTCCTATTGAATATAAATTTTCCAAGGAAATTGTTTGTTTTCCTTTATTTTATGTGTAACCAACCGTAGCCTTAGTTATTTTATTGTGCTTAGGAGCCATATAGATGTTTGTAAGTTGTATTGTTTAAGCCTTTCCAACTTTTAATTCTTAATTATGTAAGTAGTAGGTCAAATGGTTTCTAGCAAGTGCTTAGGTGGGATGATCCATCCTTGTCTACAAAAAATCAAAGCAAAATGAGTTAAGTGAAAGATGTAATATATTTTTCAAAAGATGACTGAAAGAACTTTCCACAACTATTATTCCGGACTTCTGGTTCACAAGAAAAATATCTTATTTGAGAAAAGCCTAGTGGACATCAGAAAGAGGATATCTTATTTGAGATGGATTTTTTTGGAGGCTTTGTTCTGGACTTCTGGTTCACAAATCACAAGTATATGCATGTCTTATGGTCCATGGGAAAGATTTTCCCTAACATGAAAGTCAAGTTCATTCTGCTTAATCTCATGCAGAAATGACTTGAAGAGGGTATAGCAGGTGAATGCTTGCTCCGATTACAGTCCTAAGTTTTGTAGCTGCAAGTGAAATGGGGTGGTTCATACACTTCAGAAATGGAGAGTATCCAGAATAGGTTATTCTACTCGTGTTTATCCTTTTGCATCAACATCTGCAATAAGGCACAAGGATCAGTACTGTCTAACTGAAAAAAAAAATTGAAGAGAGTGTTGAAACAGATATTTGTGACATTTGTTGCATTTCAGGAAATTCTTTATCTTTTCTGAGCTCCCAGTCCCAGGAATGCACTGCTGGCATTTGGAGTAGAAATTCTCCATTTAAAACTAGTAAATTTTTAGTATAGCATGTTTATGATACCTCACATGACACCAATTACTTTACCATACTGTCAATACTTGGAAACTGAAAAAAAAAAAAGTTGATTTTCAAAGCGTTCTGGAGTGTAAAAAGACCAAGGGAGTTAGTTTTGTCACCAAAACAAGGATAAAATCATATTGCTTCACTATGATTATCAGTCATTTCTTGGAAACTCCTGTTACATGGAATAAAACAGATAAGGCACCAGGAGGCACAAATGCAGTATAAGCAAACATTTCTCTAAATAGTTTCTGGTGTACATATGACAGTAAGATTTTCTGCAGTTTCCATCCAAAACTTCAAAGATGAAACTTCAAAACAAATTAAATAATAATAGGAGTGGATTGATGATAACAGCCAAATATGGCTAATATTCATATCTGGTGCAAGTCAGTATGACAAACAGTCTAACACATTTATTGAAGATAAACAAATGGGACTGCACCTAGATTTTTTGTATTGAAGTTACCCAAGCATTTCTATGATTTTTGTTGCATTCTGTATTTCCTTTTCTAGTTTGCTTGCTCAATAGAGGACTTTTGCTTGGTCTAATGGTAAAATATCAGGCTGACCATGCGAGTCTGTGGGTATGCAGGTTTTAGCCTGGGAGTGTCCACTATTAGTCATAAATCTTTCATCCACTTCATGCAAAAAATTGTCCTAGGTTAGGTTCCTATCTGGTCCATCCTCCCAAGACCCTGGCTATCCGGGACCAGCACTGGGTAATGTCCTTTTAAGTTTCTTGCTCAATGATTTTATTGCTGATAGTTTGTCTATAAAAAAAGAACTCCATGCACAGGTGAAATTCATTTCTTCTTTTTAGGTCACCGTTATCCTTCATAGCTTTGGTGGATAGCAAGTTATGAGAGAAAACAAACTTGTTGCCTTGGAGAATCTGGATACCATTAATCTTCTCTATAGCATGTTAATGTTACAGCATGTTAATGTCACAAAGTTCCACACCAGGGACCAACCGGTTCATTGGGCTTGTTATCTTATAATAATTGTAAATATTGATACATGTTAATGTTAAACAAAAGAGAAAAAAGAAAGCGATGACAGTTCAATTCATCATTGAGATGTCTAAATTTGGTTTTGCAGGTAATTCAATAAAAACATCTCCTAGGGACATATAAGTTTCTATTGAGGATGTGAGTCTTTCATGTCTAACCTAAATGTTATTCATTCATATGTTACCAAGTGGTAATTTATGCTTTGATAATTGTTAGATCTATTTCCATTAAAAGTATATGGATCTTCTTAAGATAATGAAAAGTTTATCAATTCCTATGCCCTTTTTCCTTTATTATCATTCAAGTTTACATAAATTTCTGTTGTCCTGAGGAAGATGGTATTCTTTTGGTTATGGAAAAGTTGATTTTAATATTCAGACAGCTGATTTTTTAGGTGGCATTTGGTTGAGATTTCCAAAAGGATCTTCCAAAACCCAAAAAACTAGGAAGTCTTTCAACAAGCAACAAAGTGTCCTGACTCCTGAGGTGCTAGGTTGGATAAATGCTGTGATGATCCTTCTCTGCCTCTAACGCAGAGGAAGAACTTAAAGGTTTTTCTTCTTCTCAGTGCACGTTTTCTGGGCCTATCAACCTCATTTTTCTTTTCTTTCCTCTCTCACTTTTTTGTGGTGAATACTTGTCAATCTCATTTCAAGGTGGGAAGTTAAGAGTTAAAGGTCCTTGTCTCACCTTCAGCTGAAAGTGCAGTAACAACACTTGTCTAGGTAGTTCCCCAAGTGTATTTGCGCCATCTCCAATCGAATCCAATACCATTGCTTATTACAGAGACCATCTCCCAAGGAGACGGCAAAACGAGGACATTTGCCCAATAATGTAACTTATCACTACTGAATCAGTATCACTCATAAACTCTATCAAATATAACAACCAGCTGCTTGCTTATCAGAGACTACAGGGAAGTCTTTTTTATTTAATTTATTGTTGGGTTGATGACCACATGGAAGTCATACTTTTGTCGTCCAGAAACCAGAATGATCTGCTTTCAGCCTTCAAAACCCCAATCATGAGAATTGATCAGAAACCATGTGATCAAACAAGGTCAACCTTTTTTCTTCATTCAAGGTATATCAGCTATGGGTATCCCAGTAGAACTAAACCCGGTGTCACCTATCCATTTTGATTGTTTCACCACACCAAACTCTTTTCTATCTGGACATTCCAACAGCACATGGCAACCATGGTTGAAAATTGAAAGCGAAGCTTCCTAATGTACGGTATTGAGTATTGACCCTAAGGTTGCCCATCTTGTTTTTGGACATCCAATTTTTTTATTTTATGTTTTTTTCTTAGCAGCTGGACGTATTATCTTGGCAAAAGACGAATTATACTATTTTCCCCTTGATGACTGACCTGTCTTCCACGCAGGTCTGAACCTCCTGATCATAAAATAGCATTTCCTTACTGCTGAAATCTCGCTTTATTGAGCAAATGAGTTCATCCACAGACAGGTATTATTCTTGGTTTAGTTCATTTGTTGCCAGTCCAAGCCAAGACAAAGGTCATTGTTGAGCTAAAGAATATTACCATTTAACTGATGCCATATATATTCTAAGCATATATTCAGGGGGTATTGTTGTGGTAATTGTTTTTGTTTTCAAAAACAAACCAACCATATTGTCAAATTGACATATGAACCATTTGACCTGTAATTAGGGGATCTTTCCAGACTGAATTTTAGGTCAATTTTGATAACAATTAATTGGAGAAAGCTTTGG